CTGCTGACTGAAGCCATGGCTTCATCACCATCAAGGGTTAACAGAAAACAGATGGTGGTTCAGCTCCTGGTAACGGGTTGGTGTAGTCTTGCAGCACAGCGATTTGCTCTGGGATCCTGCTAGAGTTAAACCAGAGAGCTGGGTAGCCCAGGGGGGCTGACTAGGTCCCCAAGCCCATGCCCTATCCTGGCTCATGTCCTGGAAACATTTGTCCCTCTCTCCCCTCTAGCAGAGACCCCTAATGAGATGCCAGAAATCAGGCAATGGGCTTTTCCTCCTTCCCTCCCTGCCAGCCACACATTACGCCTCTTTTAGCCTAAAGAAACTCCAGCGTGCACCAGATTGAGTTGGGCTGCGGAGGGTTTCACACAAGTCTTCATCCCCGCCAGGCTATCTTTATCAAGCCAGCCCTGAGGAAACGAAAAGCCTCATTCCTCAAGAGGCTTTCCTCATTAGCCGGGCTCCGTCTCCAAGCGGGTGGCTCTTCCCGCCCCGTGAACTGAGCAGCAAGGGGTGGCAGAGGGGACGCTGGGACAGGACTGATGTAAGCACAGGGCTGCCGGTGCTCAAAGGCTGCACCGTATTATTTGCAGATGTAGCAAAGGAAAAGGGGTCCCCACACATTAACTGCTTCCCTGATGTTGGTGATGCTCAGGGATCGCCACGAAGCACATCTGCCCTCTGATTCCCCCCACTCACCTTCCCCCACGGGGCAAGCAGGGATCTGCAGGGTACCAGCTCACTGAGGAATCTCTATTAGAACTTACTGTGCTATTATTTGAGGATTTGATTTGGAAAGGTTCTTCCTGTAGAAGCAGCCCAGAGCGTTAGTTTCATAGACTGATCATAAATGTCAGGTTAATATATAGGTAGAATTCATATATGAATGTACTTGCCATCAATTAAAGACCTCTAATTTTCTTTAGGAAAGGTGTATCTGGGGACTCAGTACATTGGCTGCATCTCCTTGGCTGTGCCAGCTCTGCCAGTGCTGCTCATTCCCTCCATTGGATCTGACTCCCACCCACAAATGGCTCTGCATGCTTCCCTGCTATCT